TCCGTGTTGCAGACCACCATTCACCAACTTGCTATCATTTGTGAATAATTACCAGTTTCCCATGTTTAATTCACTAGGATAAAAAGGACCAAATAACACTTCTCGCGAACACAATATACTAAACACATTTCATCAGTGTTCTTTATGATAAAACAGGAAAAATTTCAAACACGTAAGTTTTGTAAACGTTTGAACACGTGTTATTTGGCCCTTTTTTCCCTAGCGATTGCCGCTCTTCAGCAACGCTCGTCAATTTGCCGATGCGACCGCAGGGCGCTCCCCATTCCAGGGCGAGAACAAGGCGGCTCTGAAGCAGAACATTATAAGAATGAACATCAAGAGCGTCCCGAAGTTTCTGACGGGCGACTGCTCGGACTTCATCGCAAAGGCTAGTCGGTTGGGCTGCCCGCCCCACGCGTGGACCCGGCAGGAACTCTCAACAGTGCCAAGAGCTTGGGCAATGACCGGAATTCGTATGATGCAGGATTTTCTGCATTGTTAGACTTCTAGCCCTTTCGCATCGAAAAATTTTAGCGTTACGCAGTTTGCTCCACATTTGTTTTCCAGAGCGTCATTTTTACTATTTTTACGCTGATCCGCACACATTTTATTAAGAGTGCGTTTTTTGTTTTATTGCTTTATCCGCAAAAAATCCAAGCTTCACATTACTATGCGGAAGGGTTGTAAACCAACAGTACCCTGCGCGGTAGCAATCATTGCAGTATTCAGTGTTCCAGTACCAAAATATAGAATGTTCACCGGATACTGAACTGAACAAATAAAAGCAAAATCTTCACTGTTACAGTCTGCTTAACTTCTTTTATTTTGATTGCATCAATTTAAAGACACCGATAGTACGTTGCGTTGATTTTGCGGCAGTCTAATGCAAAAAACGACACAATACACTGTCTCCAGTTTTAAAATTGGTGCAATCAAATTTCCAAAATTGATCAATTCACAGAATCGATCAATTTTCGAAATTGGTCAATTTGATTGATCGACGCTGTGCGCCGCTCCGTGTCCAGATGCTGACGTACGACCCTGACGCCCGATCGTCCGCGGACGACCTGCTCGTCCACCCCTGGATTACTAAGCACGCGCGCCACCCCCCTGTCGCCCCCCAAATGGAGGCCTTAGGGTCCCGCCCCACCGGCAACATGGACCACGGCGACCAGAGGCCCAGGAGCCAGAGGCCCAAGTCGGCGTCCGGGACGGCAGCGGAGGGACGGCACGCGAAGGTGGGGTCCCTTCCTTGCCTCAATGTGTTCTTTTCTACTGCTAATTGTCCATTGACTAATTGATACTATTTCTTTTGTTATTTTCTTTTTTGCCTTTTCTTAATTGCTGTTCATGGGCTGACTGAAGGCGGGGCTTGCTCGGGCACAGTAGGAGGCCTCCTCGCCTTCTCTTGCTATGCGCGTGCCTGCCTTGTCATGTAAATTTCACGATGATGGCTTCTGATAATGAAGGTAGGACCGGATCCGCAAAATGGTCCTTGATCAAGGAGCTGGCTGAAGCTGGAGGCGACGGTTGGATTGTTGGATGCGGTCAACTGACACGCGTGTCTGCTTTGCAAGTGCCATGGAAATTTGAGAGGGTCAGGATCAATGACTCATGAATGCGTTAGCCCCCCGTTGTGCGCGCCGATTCGCAATGGCAAAGGACGCGGCGCCACCGCCTTTGTGGAGCCGCCGATCAGGCGTGCCAAAGCAAATGGTGGTGCTTTATGAAGCGTGTTGCATAACGAAAACAAACTCAAATTTAAATGTGAGCCTAAAGGTAGTGGCAAAAGCATCCCATGTTTATGCCATTGGCATAATTAAACTGCTTGCCGTCTTTCTCTGACACACCACTTGCGCCACATACATAACTGAGGTTGTGGCATTGTTTATTGCCATAAAATTGTGCATCAATGAAAAGCAAGCAACAACAGAAGCAACCTTGCGTGCGCCAACTCATGCAACAACGGATATACATGGTAGATCGCACTGTGCATTGGCAGTCCCCAGTGCGGGTGGGGGTCCCCCACACGACCAGAGCAACGGAGATACAGCATAAATATGCATTGAATATGTTCTTCCCTTGAGCACGCAATTTTCGAAAGGCTGTTAATTGCAACAAGTACTGCCGAATTTCCATTCGGTGCGAAAGATGAACCTCTTACAAAATGCACATATGTGAAGCCATTTATACGATTCTGCCTGAAAATCGGGCATATTATATGCTTTGAAACTTATTTGGTTGCTGGAAAACCACGTCGGCCACTTTGACGAAAGCAACTTGAACACAACATAGGATCAGCACGATAGTCGATTCCAAGGCCAAATGGCTATTTCAGTTCACGACTTCGCCTCAACAACTCGGCGTGGGAATGCGATTTGGCCCAATAATAAATACAAAACGATGCATTTATGCTCACGAAAAAATACAAGTATGCGAAGAGATTTCATTTCTTTCACGGTGGAATTCTTCGATGCGCTGGCATTGTCGATTTGCGATTCCGTACACAGAGCACCGACTGCAACAGAGATGACATGCTCCTCTCATTCCAAAAGAGCTCCACAAAACTCGTATAGTATTTGAAAGGCGCAGTGCTTTGGTGCAACATGGGGTGCAAGTGGGGGAAAGCAAGAGACTGGACAGGTGAAATGTTTGCCTTGCAAAACGCTGCGCAGAGCACCACCAAAGAGCGGCCCACGGCTGGCAGTCCGGGGGCCATAAAGGCCCGCCATGCAAGCGAAGGGTCGCCCGCTCCGCCGCTGCTGTCCCCAGAATCCATCTTGCTCGTCACGCCCAAGAGAAAGCTCAAGTTTGGAGACAGGATGGCCAAGCTGCTGCCCACCTACGGAGCCAAATCGGTGCGCGGGACATGCTCGAGGAATTTGCTTGAGTGCATGGATCGATGCGCGAAATCTCTGTCAATGTTAATGTAGGGCGAGCTTCCCATGTCGTCTTCTAGTGCCATTGTGAGCAAGAGCGTGAGAGATGATGGTAGACTAATGTGCCATATCATAAACACCACTTTGTAACAATAGCAGCAGTAGAGGTATGTTATGAAGTGCCATGCATACATTGGATGTACTGCACACTGTGGAACATGTGCTGACGCACAAGACCATGACACGCCCGTATAAAAAATGTTTGTAGAGGAGTAATTTAAGGTAGCGCGATGCATTTTTCGCAGTAAAATATGTCATACTTTTCACTACTTGCGATCGGGGGCCTCAATATGCTACGCTTCAATTAAGGAGCAAAACATGACGCTAACCGTAACGGAAAATATGCATCGGCATACTTCGAATAATTCCCTAAAATTCCCTAGCAAACTGAATTCCCATCTGCATTTTGCTGGCTGCTAAATTCCAACGACGATCCCAGGAGTGGCCACAGAGGTGTGCCAGTTAAAATAATTTGCTATTACTGGTGCATAAATTCTGTGCATGTGGTTACAGGGCTTGAATCGGTAAAACCACCATATCAACTGCAGAGGCGCCGTTATTTTTAATTTTATGTTATTTACGTATTTCGACGGCTTGAAAAAATTCAAATAAATTCACAAATTCGCAAATTCGCTCTATCTCTGCCGCAGGAGAGGAACATTTGCATGCGAGGGGTTTGGAACTTGCAGATATCGGATTCCGAGTCTGCCTCCGACGAGGACAGTGACTAATGCAACGGTCGAGCGGCCTGCGGGGCGGCCTTGGCCGATGCCTCGATGCATGAGGATGTCATTGAGATACAGTGATGATGTCGTTGAGATGTCAATGGTGCTTTCGTTGTGATACAATGGCCAGACGGGATGTGATGACGGTAATTCAACATAGATGCGATGAATGAAGGAGCAGCGCCGGTGAACATCACGCATGTATACATGCGTGATGTTCACCGGCGCTGCTCCTTCATTCATCGCATCTATGCTGAATTAGATACCGTCGATACGTATCGCCGCCATATCATACGATATGATGAATGCAAAGTCCGTGTTTCCTTTGGAGCGGCATCGATCGGTTGATTGCTCGAGCTGGGTAGCTCTGAGGGCCGCCTGACAGTCGAATGCCATAAACGCTTGGCCGAAATCCACGGCTTTTTGAGCGGCAATGGTGTATGTTGAAAAGACCTCAATTAGTGCCCGATTGCAGGATGGAGTGGATGCAATAGCGGCACGCGAGTCTGTTGCATTGCTTTGTTATTTCGTCGTCTAATAACGATATCAGCAATATGTTCCAATAGAACAAATGAAGCAAGAATCTGGTCCAAACTACAATGTTTGAAGCGAGTCCGTGCAGATGTTGACGGCGTTCCGATAACTGCAAATATGCTTGTGGCTCTGGCGCCGCACCCCCCTACTGCTGGCGCCAGAAATAGGGCCGGCCCCAACCAGCCTTCGAGCATTGCAACATCCATCGTCGTTAAACGATTGCCACCTCTGTGCGAAATTAGATTTGGAGGAGGAATGCGAAACCGCGACCACGCGATCATTGGCAAGCTAGCAGGTTTCGACTGAAGCCCCTCGGTCACAGCGGCACCCATGCCTTTGGGCCAAAAACACGCTTTCCTTGGAATTGTCGTTGTGGGCAGAAATGTTGGAGTAGTGTTCAAACTATGCTGATTTTCCCATAAAAACGTGGGAATAGTTGCGTTCTGAGATGTGGTTTCCTTATGGCTAGAAACTGTGCTTGATAAATATGCTCGATTCCGGGTATGTGTCGCAAAACAGAACATCTTCTTTAGCAAATGTCGCTCATCATCATCTATTCGTGGAGTGGCAATGCCGCCGTGAAGCTGCTACGTTGCATTATGTCATCGTGTGTTGACATAACGGCACATAAGCAATAAAATGGGGGTGATGATTACGTCACAATCTGTTACGTAATGCGCTGTGCAAAAATTACGCAATCATTTAATAATTACGCAATGTTGTGCCCAAATAATTACGTCACCAATCCCCTTTTCATCCCCTTTTTCTAGCGCAGCGATCTCGCGCCTGGGCCCAGGCCACCATGGCCCCCACTGCCCACGCGCCAGGCGTCCCCTCCCTCCCGCCCCGCGCTCCTGGCGCGCGCTGCCCACAGCGACTTCAGATCCGATCGACACGACCGATACTGTCGACGCGACCGATACCGTCGATCCGATCGATCGGATCGCGCCGAGGGGAGCCGCGTCCGCGGGCCGTGGCTGGGCCGGGGCTGGAGACGGCCACGGCGAAGAAGGCGGGCGGCGGGGCGAGGGGGGATGATTGGAACCAGTGGGTCAGGGAGGGACAGGGGGAGACGCCGCTGGTTCGCAGGCAGGTGGGTAAAGCGGGGCGCGGCGGGAACAGAGAGAGGGGTGGGGGGTTTGGGGTCGGGAAGATTGTGTTGCAAAGAGGAAAAGAAATTGGGAATGCAAAAACATCCCCTCCTGAGCAAGTGAGCGTGAGGCTCTGTTGTCGTATTGTGCAACAAGATCTGCAGCGAGAGGAGCAGCAAGCGGAGCACGCACAACACAGGGGCCATGATTCGGGGTAGGGTGAGATTTGGTGCGCGCCAAGATGAAAACTTGTGACGCAAAGGGCGCCCCCTCATGGGCCAGCGAAACAAAAGGCAGGCAGGGCGGAAGTCCAGAGCGGCACAGTTGGGAGCGAGAAGGCGCGATCGGCGCCGCTCCGTGGCGAGGAATTCGACTCAGGGGTTGCTGTCCAGGGGTTTCAGGCATGGACGGAGGATGCCGTGGGGAGTGTCATATCGTTTCCCCGCTGTGTTGCTTCGCGCTAAAGATAGGATCGACGTTTGGGGTGGGTTGGATGCGAGGAAAGAAAGGCTGAAAAAGGGGAAAGGCTGTGGGAGAACGTCGATCTGAGGCATGGCCCGCGTTGCGAGGAAGTGCTTTGCGTCCCCGGTTGTGGATGCGCTGCTTGGCGCGATGGAAGCCGGTTCGAGGGATGGGAAGGGGGGCCCGCGGCCCCAGCCGCCAGCGGCGATCGACCATCTGGCCGGATCGATGGGCTGCGGACGCTTTGTCAGCCGAATGATTGTCGAAAATGGGGAAAAGAGGAGAGAGAAACGGAATAGTGGAATAAAGAGAAAGAATGAAAACGGAGGACAAAGCACTGCAGGGGGCGTTCGAGCCGCCGATCCGCGCTCTCTCACCTGCCCGACCTGCCGAGCTCTGAGCGCGCTTGCCACCTCCTCCATTTCGGACGTGAAGGCATTGGGTGACATTTCGCCATTGATTGTGGGATCGCATGCAGGCTGCAAAGCAGGACAGCCAGCAGGCCAAGATCGCGGACTCGCTGCCGCCGTGGGACGCGTCTTTGACGGCCGATGTGGCGGTCGTGGGCTGCGGTCCCGCGGGCCTGGCGCTCGCAGGCGAGCTGGGGAAGAGGGGCATGCGAGTGGTGCTGGTGGGTGAGTGTTGTCTTCTGTCGCTCTTTTATTCCGTAGGTGTTTGTGCTTCCACTCTTCTTTTCTTTTTTCCCTACAAAATGTTGCACAACGTTTCAGTGTCCAGGTGCCTGCCCCAGCCTATCACAAGATATGTGGTGTAGTGCCATCAAGTAAGAGAGTGCAAGGCGAATTGAGCCCCCAAATTGTTCGGCGCTTCAGGGGGTCGCTGGCAGATCAGCAATCATAGTATGTCACAGCTGCTTCTATGTTAATCAATTGAACCAAGACGAGAAAACTCTGCTGTTGTTGTTATTTCATTACAAAATAGTACAACACTGTAGGGAGTCCATGTGCTGCCTCACAAGAAAATGCAAGGCGCTGCGCATGTTCTGTCGGTGTTGTTCGTTAGGAGGGTGTTGACAGAAGCAGTTGTCATGCTAGTGGCCCATTTACAAACCAACCGATAAAGCCTGTGTTCACGTCTCAGTGCCCACCACAGGTCAACAGCCCCATGATGCTGGTGGATGGGTGTTCATATTCGGTTCCATCTCATCAACAATAGAAAGTCAGGTTCCATCAGCAAATGCAAACTGCACAGGCATATTGTGTGTTTGACGACGTGCATCAACTGCACAATACAATACGTGCCTTGTGGAAGGAACGAGGGAGGGTCACAGGCAAGAAGCTGTGGGAATGGTGCTCTTATGTGTTACCAAGCCCTTGTGAGCCATAGAATCGCAGAAAAATGGAATCGTAGAATTCTAGGCACCAACATTGGCCCTCTCTGCAACCTCATACATATTGACAACATCACCCAAAATCGACGCACTGGTGTCAATGATGTGGTTTGCCTTGTGGTCCCGACATGTTCCTTTTGGGAAAGACATTCTGTGGTGTGGCTGCCTCTGTCTGGACAGGGCAAGACTCGGCATTTGTTAACAACTATGGTGTTTGGCGTGATGAATTCCGGGAGCTGGGGCTGGAGCACGTCCTTGAATGCCAATGGGACGATTCTGTGTGTTTCTTTGGTGAAGGCCAGGAGGTGATTGGAGCCCTGTTGGTTGTCTGCCATTTTGTTGCACTGTCTTGCAGTACATTCGCATTGATTTTGTCATGTTCTGTGCTACAATGCACTTCATTCTTCAGTATTGTCAAACTTGGAGTTCCTGAAGCGGAGGCTTGCAATTGGCCCCCCACTCCTGATCAAGACATTCGCACTTTGGTCCATCAATCCGACGATGCACAATTAGTAGTTGAATGTCTATTGGTGAATAGTTGTCTGAGGAATTACTGTCCAATTTTCCACAAACTCTGGTCCAAAGCTGGCAACTGTGTCAGCAAACCCACCAAGGCCTGACCAACGTTTCCCCATTGACTTGACCTATAAATGAGTCTCCATGAAGTTGGTCCCATGTCAGCTCAACTTTTGGACTGCCAATGAGGAATGTCACAGACTTGCAGCTTCGTTACTGCCTTGAGCAGTAACTTGACACTGCTTTGATGAGGTTGTTTTGGCAATTGTCTAAGTTTTGACTTCCTTGCTTGTGCAACACTTCTTTTTCAGCAATTGCTCACTGAAGCACAAAAGCACCCACCATTCATTTGCAACACATCGGCTGCAGCGGCTTGGCACTGTGTTGTTCATGGTTTTACTGCTGGCAATGGAGTTGAATAGCACGGCGTCTTCAGCAGCATGGACAACGGAATCAATACGTTGATTTAGCCAGTACGATCAACAAGAACATGACGCAGGGTTTTTGTTTGCTGATCTTTACCCTTTAGGTTCGTGTGGGGAGGGGCTATGGCCGGGTATGTCGGCGGCGGCTGCGGCAACACCTGCTAGAGGTGTGCCGAAGTGAGGGTATTGGTGGAGGAGTGGCCTTCCATGAGGGCCTTGTGGATGCCGTGGACTCAGAGCGGGGGTCGGACACCAGCACATTGCGCTGCAAGGATGGGTCTGAGGTGCGGGCGAGGTGAGGGGAATTGGAGGTGCACTGTGTTGTGCACATTCCATTGTGTTCACACTTCGACCTTCCATACTTCACGTGTTAGGTAGCGTGGAATGCTCATTTAATGGCTGTCGAGACTGATCTCGACTCAAAACTTACATTTCCGTTTGTTGTCTTTGTTGCCAAATTTGTTGCTCACATGCACATTCAATGAGTATTATACATAAAAAATGCTATAAAATGGCAATGCAACACAATTAGAATGTTCTACACATGTTTTTGTTACTTATCTTGTGCCTCAAATTTTCGTGATGCACAATTGATATTATCAAACTGCTATCATATCCCACTGCATGTTGTGTTGTGGCTGCACAGTTTTGTAACATTCGAATTTGGCTTGTACTGGATGTATGGCTGCCTGCTTTTAGTGAACACAATAATATTGACATTTAGCAGAATTGGATGAATGCAAGGCAGCCTCTAAAAAGAGGGAAGAGGGGGACCTGGGTACGGTTCTTCAGCGTGGACAGATTCAGTTAAAATCACTAGATCTGGCCAGGGGCGCAGTCTTAATCGGCTTGTCAGCAGTGTTTCCTTGACATGTGGCAAGGGCGAGATGGTTCTGAATTCATTGCAACACAACACTGTAAAAGGCCAAAAGAACAGGAAGAGGGAACATGACATGCAAATGGCCACCCCATTCCCAGCAAAGAGATGGTGAGACTCACACACATAAGTGAAGGTCTCCAAAGCGGTGTGAGAATGAATGAAGCTATGTCAGCACGCATGGAATTGTGGCTTGCGCTCAGGTGGCCCGGATGGCAGCAGGCACTAACAGAGTTCACAACGCCGTCACGTACATGGCAGCGCCTGCCTGTTGTCCACAACTCTGTTGTGAGTCTGAGGGCGTGACAGGATGTGGGCACCCTCCCAAAAACAGGAGCACGATCATAGAAAACAAGGGGTTTCAAGAATGTGTTCCTGTGTCCCTCACTGCCTATTGCATCTGTCACAGGCTGGTGACGCTGGCATCAGGGGCGGCAGCTGGAAGGTTCCTTGAGTACGAGACCGACACTCCGCAGCCTGCGGGGCAGACGGCCTACGGCATCGAGGCAGAGGTGGAGGGGTACGAGAAGGGCTTTGACCCAAAGGCCATGCTATTCATGGACTACAGACGGCACCACACGGGTTTGTGGGAGGACACAGCACACACAATACAGGTGGGCTGGCGGAGTTACTGTTCGGCATTGATTTGCCACTGAAACAGTAAACTGTTTATAGCCTGTTGAGTATGTGGTACATATGTAGTATGTGGCGATGAGCATGGCATTTTGGCACACAAAGGAAGGGGCCGGGGGGTGGGTGTGTGTGGAAGGGACCACAGTGTAATTTGAACAACTGACAGTGAGCGGTATAACCCAGGTGTTGTTGAACATGGCATACTGTTGTTATTCAACACCACATCACATTAGGCAAGTGATGGCTTCACCATGGTAAAAAGCAAAATGGGTGCCAAGCAGGTATATGGGGAACAATAGCTCACACGGCCATGGTGGATGCCCAAAGTGCCAAACTTCGCTGCTTTGAGCCTGATCATTCATTTGAATATGAACAACAATCTGGGTGTTAAATCGCCTTGATCGCCTTTGGAACAGTATCGTGAGCGGGACTGGTACCAGTAAATGGACACAAACCAGCATGGGGACCAGTTAATTGGGTTCAGGGTTTAGTTATCTTAAGGTTAGGGTTCAGGTACTTGATGTTTCGGGTACCAGTCTCGGCACTGGTCTTGGTACCCCTCTAGTGTCTGCGTATCAGATACGCCCTTGTCGTATTGCAACATGGGTTCCAGGCCCACAGCTCTTCTGCTGAGTTGGGACTTGCCATCGGGAAAGGTGATGCAATACTTTGGAATTGCCAAAAGCACGAACCTGTTGCGGCACACCTGAATCCACTGTCATGAGTATTGTGGCATGTTGTGATACTTCAGTGCAATGCTGCTGTGGCACACAATGCACAGCTGTGGTGCTCCTGTAACAATGTGTCACACAGTTGCAGTGCACAACAAGCCACTCCAGTGCACTACTGTGTCACTCTTGCAGTGCTGCTGTTTTGTGCTTTTGCGCTCCAAGTGGCACTGCTGCGGTACATAGTATGTACAAGCATGCACCCAACAGGTACAGTATGCGCCAACATGTACAGTATATGAATTTGTGCTTCATTCGAGTTTGTTCCTCATACTCAATGTCAGCAGTAGTTATTCATGCACGCAGTAATACAAGTACTGTAGATCAGGGGGGATAGCCCCCCTGCGTTGAGCATCACGGCTGGCATCAGGCATGCAGGGCGCGCTGTCTTGCATGTCCCCGCACTATCTTTTGCGGCCCCCTCGTTCTGCATCAGGTCGCTGACCCGCTAGCGCCCCCCCAACCCCACCCCCCACCCCCCACCCCCCGCCCCCCTTCATCACACTGGCCCACATACCAGCCACAAAGCATACTGGCGCCCTGCCAATTTAGCGTGTGACAAAAGCCGCCATTCATAGCAGCAACCAAAACCGGCACCGTCAAAAGTGATGGGACGCCTCAGTTTGCTACATTACGCTGCCAGATTGATTGGCAAAGCAAACCGGTGCCTGGCCAATGCAGCACATTGCATAGCATCACATAAGGCGCCAATCACAGCGCCAACCAAAAGCAACGAATAGCAGCTAACTAGGACGTCACACTTCGCTGCACTGTGCCACTGATTTGGACATTGAGAATCTTGAGGGCTTGATGTTTGATTGAAAGAGGAATATCATGGTACCCTTAAGTTGTTGTGGTCTTGGCAATATTAGGGTGATAGCATATGCAATGAGATGTAAGAATGTGTGAGATTGCCTTTGCATTGTGGTTGTATGTGCTATTGAAGTGAATCTCAACTGAAGTGAAGCTCACATGTAGTGAATCTGTGCTCTCGTGTGTTCCCCCACCCCCACACTCCACCCCCACCTGCCGCTCTGCAACACTGGCCATGTTTGATAACGCTGGGGGCATTATCCAAAGGCCCCCGTGCTCTTCAACACCCCCTGTACTATCCTCCGTGATCTACGGTACTACACATCCCCACAACCCCCCCTGCTGTGCTCTCAATCTGTAGTGCTCCAGGCAGGAAAGCACCCCAATGCGGGGGACGGCCTTTGGGGCACCTCCAATGAGGTCCCTTCCTTCCTGTACGCCATGCCCCTTTCGGACGGGACTGTCTTCCTTGAGGAGACATGCCTGGTAGCCAGACCTGCCCTGCCCTTCGCCACACTCAAGAGGCGGCTAGAGCGGCGCCTGGCAGCACAGGGCATACGCGTGAAGCGAGTGCTGGATGAAGAGTGGTCCTACATACCGACGGGGGGACCGCTGCCGGCACAGGGCCAGGCCATCACAGCATTTGGTGCAGCGGCCAACCTGATCCATCCTGCCACAGGTGGGTAGGAGTTCTGATCCTGGGACACTGAATAGTCAACAAGTGTATCTTTTGGTGAAGAGCCAAAAGCTCACCACGACTTGTGAGATGGCTGCAGTGGCATTGGGTGCATTACCCATTTGCTGACTCTTCGTTGGACCTGTCCTGGGGGAGCATTGTTCCACTAGTTGCAGCCATCACACCCGTAATTGGGAATGCAATGTTCAGCCTTTTTATCATCACCAAATGCAGCAGTGGATTTCTCTTTTCGTTGTTGCAGGCTACTCCATCACGCGGTCGTTCCAGGAGGCCCCAGCCATGGCAGATGCCATTGTCGATGCCCTCAAGTCATGCCCCCTCATCGGGCAACGAGCAGACAGGGTTTGGGACACACTGTGGTCGCAGGAGAAACGGAAGCAGGTGGGACGCTGTGCGTGTGACAGAGGGATGGCTGGCAGCCATTTGTGGGCTGTGCCCAAGCAGGGGTATGACAGTGGGATCGGCATGCAACCGACAAGGGCATGTCCAGTGCGTCTTGAACACTTGCACATGAATTGGGCACGTCTAGGACCAATAGATGCACAAATCCGAAAGTCAGAAGTACCCGGCAGTGTTGTGTATCCAGACAAGCATGTCCTATTTGATGTCATGGTACAGCTCTTCAAAACTGAATCATTGGGAAGAAATCTGCAGATCAATATTAGCAACAGATACTGTTGCAATAACCTGGGAATCGCTTTACCTGCACAGGTTTCTCTGTGTTGCTTTTTGCATAGCACTGTCAGTACACCTGTTAGTGACTCCAGGTTTGGTTCGCTTTTCTCTCACTCTGCCTTACCATTCCACTCCAAATAAGAAGGATGGTTGCATTTCTTATTCAACACTATTGCACTTTAATTGACACGCGAGTTGAAATATTAACACTACTCATGCCAACAAAGTCCTTTTACTTGGCGACGTTACCATGCCTCCAGGCCGCCTTCCATGTGTTTGGCATGGAGCTGCTCGTCAACTTGGACCTTGCCTCCACCAACAACTTCTTCAAAACCTTCTTCCGCCTCCCCGAGTATTTCTGGCAAGGCTTCCTGGCGTCCAAACTTTCGTCTGTGGAACTGCTGGCCTTTGCGGCCGGCATGTTCCTGTTGGCGCCACTCTCGACCAAGTACCAACTCATGGAGCACTTCTTCGTTGGTAAGGGGCTCCAGGCCTGGGTGTTGGCAAACCTGCGTGGGCCTAAAGATTGCCAGATCTAAGTGGATTCAGCAGCTTAGCTCAATTCATGGATGCATTGACCTCAAGACACGGAGATGGCCAGTTTTCCGATGGTCTGACCCAACGATGAACAGAACCAAGAAACATTGCGAACTGAAGATGCATTTCTGGCAACAGTGTGGAATGAATGTCAGTGGCACCTGCCTGCTGCGGAGCAGGGCTCTGAACCAATTGATTGGGGAGAATGGACGTGTGTGGTAGCATCAATTGGAAAAAGTGATATTTGTCCAGGTGGCTCTGGACTGGATTGAAAACAAATGCGGGTGGTAAAATCATGATCATGTGCCAATGGCACGCCCATGATATGAACGACAAGAATCATCAAAATGAACACAATGATTGGGGCTTGATGAATGTAAAACGAACTGCAAAATTCCGTTGGAAGTGCAACGACTATCAGTCATGTTCCATGTGATAGAACGCCCTCCACTCCAGCCAACTGTTTCATTCATCAAAGCATGATGAATGCTGTTGTTCACATGCACGGCAATGACAGGCAACAGTGCCTTCCAGTCTCACATTCAAGAGCCCTGGTTCAAAACTGTTGCACAGGAAGGATTGCCAGGCACAGCCCATTCCTTCCTGCTGAAAAGGCAGCATCAGTGCCATCCAAGCTTCTTTGCTACACCCTCATTCCTGTCTCCACCTCGCATCATGCTGACCCGCTGAATGCATGTCACCCTATTGTGCCTGTTGCATGGCCTTGTGTGTTTCCACCCTGCCTTAAAAGTCTTCTACAACATGTCACAGCGTGGCTGTGAGGTGCAACGTCTTTTGATCAGGAGGGGTTGCACATTGACTGGCACGTTCTCTTTCCTGAAATATATGAATGCATCAAGATGCTTCCTCAAATATCTGGACCAGTCGCTTCTGTCTGGGCACGTCGGCTTGGGCAGAAGGCAGGACACAGCACAAGGTCTCATTTTGGCATCCCCACTTTCTTGCCGTTGTTGGCCTTGTCCTTACCATATTGAAGTCACGTTGTTCTAAAGGACGTGTGCTGGAAAGTTCCTCCCCATGTCTCAGAACATGCACCACAGTTGTTGGTAAAATGGCGGCAAGGGGCGGCTTCTTTTGCATCTGGCAATGCACCCCTGTTTCGCCCCTTGAGGTGTGAGCACATCTATAGAGATAAGAGTTTACGTTCGTTACCCTGGGAACAGGTGTGGCACACTTCCTTAACTATTGTGGCAACGACATGGGAATTACAGTAGGGTTGTATTAGGGTAGGGGCACTGTTATTGGTTCAGCCCACCCACTGGGATGCCAGAAGACAGACTGACGCAGCTCACCGGCTTCGCATATGTATGCATACATATGCAACACAGGATTTGTTTTTTACGTTGCTCCATGTGTGGCACGATTTGCTCATTTTTTAGTCGTTGTTCAGATTGATGGTGGCACTGCACTCCCCAGCCATGGCACTGTCCAACGATTGCTGGATATGAATGCAATTGGTCTCTGCTCACTTGCGCGGCTCTGCAGGGAATGCCAACTTAGAGCGAAACAGTGTCGTTTTTGCGGTTTTGCAGAGAGACATGCTCTGCTCACATGCTTTGTTCGCGTTTGGTTGCAGACCCCTCCAGCCGCTACTTGGTCCGCAGCTACTTTCCCGACAAAGACGAGGGCGACAGCACCCACAGCAGCTGATCCTCCTTTCTCAAACGGAAATGGGAGAATGCGTCTTTTTCCAGGGCTCGTTAGAACTGCGGTTTCCCTGTATTAATTTAGTGCCGCGGGTGCCCGTCAATGCACACGCACTTGTAGTGCCAGGAAGTTAAGGGGGCCTTTGGTCCTGTGGTGTTGCTTGCAATCCACCCATCGGGGAAGGCTCTAACGGAGGCTCCAACGCGGACCAATGGTCGACGCTTTGCTTGGTTTTCAAAAGCTTCACCACGCTTCAATGCAAAGTTGGTGTTCATTTGAGTTGGTGTTCATTTGCTTTGCTGTTTCCTCGTTATTGTTTTTGTTCACTTTGGCTGAGCAAGGCGCCGCACTGGTGGCACAATTTTGACAGTGTGTAGGGAACCTCTGTACCATACTGCACAGTGTAAGGCAATGTTGTGTGACATGTAGAGTACTGCAGGGGGAACGCATTCCTGAAATGCCGTTGAGGATGTGCTTTGCAGTCGGGGATAGGGTAGGGGCGTGCGCCGTTGTTGTTGAATCAGGCAGTATGGAATTTCAACACCAAAGCTTTGCTTTCCTGCTCCAGAATTCGCTGGGAACACTGGAAAGTGTGATGCTTCTGTCTGGTGCTGGCAGACCTCCAAATAGGTCCACAATGCAGCAATCCATCCGCTGAATGGGGCCATGGGGACTGTTGGGTAGGGATGGCCGCCCACGAGCTGGCCGCTGCCTACAGCTGTCAGTTGCGAAATCGAGTACGTCTCTTGAATTCGAAGGTACGGAATTTTAAAGATATTCCAAAAATCTGGTTTCTGAGGCACAGGCAAGGGGTCGGTGCGCCACCTTTTGAGGGGGCAGGCGGAGCCCATGCCAATGCCGAGCGTGCTCACTGCTTTTGCAAGAGCACGCAGGCGTGCCACGAAGGCCTTGGTTGATTTCGAGTGTGTCTTATTGACTGTCGCCTTGTCCTCCCTGACGACGCCGGCCATGACCGCTCTAATTCTGAACCTTCTGAGTGCTCTGGTGAAGCGTCCAGCCCTGGTCATTGGGGTCGACTTACTAAAGTAGTTGATTGACCCATTGGGCTCAATTGATTAAATTTGAAGGGTTCAGCAAAACTCACCTTGACGACCCCAAGCTTGCCTTGGCACACGTCCTGCAATGTTTCTTGATGAGGATCTGTGGCATCGAACACTTGATAAAGTGAACAATCTCGGGCGAAATGGGGAGCAGATGGCCAGCTCCTCACCTTGGTATATAAGATTTTTGATGATTCAAGAAAGCGAGACTGAGCAAGGCAAGGCCGAGGGGTGGCATCCCTGATCGGCGCCCGTACGCCAGAGTCCACCGCAACAGATAACTGTGAGTCATAAGCTCTCTTGGGAAGGGGACAGGCCCCTCAATACGAGGGCGTTCTGCATGCACAGACACTAGACCGGTGTCAAGACAGGCAACAAGACCGGTACCTAAGCACTGAAAATCTAAAACCCTAAAAATCCTACACAACATCCAGCCAACCAACCCTAGCAGCCCTAAACCCTGAAAACCTAAAAGCCTAGAAAACTAAACCCTAACCCCTAAGCTCTAAACCCTTAAAGCCAAAACTACAAACTAACCCAAGGAACCTAAAACAATCTAAGAAAAACCTAACGATTGGAACCCCAAAATACACCCTAGCTAACCAACCGCGAAACCTGTACTTGTGTCTGACCCTGCACTAGTACTGGTCTCAGTACAAGGCTAAAATCGACGCGTCGGGAACATTGCAATGAACACAAGGTCACAAACCAGCGTCCCCCCCCGTCCCAACAACACAAAAACACAACAAGCTTGTTGTGCTCAATGAACTGATCAGAGACACTACTTTGCTCAGGCAAAACAGCAAGCTGACGGCTGCCTCTTTCCCTTGCTGTGTAAAAACTGAATGATGACGCAGTTGCGGCATTAACGAGGGGAATGACGTCAGCGCTCAAGCACAGCCAAGCGAAAATTCATCTTGTCACCGATTTTATCCTGTCTTCATTTCAACGGAGGCATCGCAAGTTGGCGTGCAGTCGTTTCAACGGATCTACAGATCTGACATATCTAGACATGTCCATAGTGCCAATATTATCTCCAACCAATCCCCAAGGATTCAAGGATGGTAAGGACACATCAAACCCGTCTACAGATACGAAAGATTTCTGTAATCATCACACCCAATTTCTTTGAAAACGTTTTTTCTGCGATTTCGGTGTGGGGCTCGCTTTCTGGAGGCTGAGCAGCAACGACACCAAGAATGGCAATCCTTTCCAGAATTTTCAAGGCGATTGTGTCCATTGTGCCACTCAGCTCCCAAACATGAGATGCATTTTCTCTTCCACTGCCACGCCTTGATGACATTCGCTGAAGCCACGCATCTCTTTTTCAATGTCACAATGCCAAAGCACTATTTGCTTCAGTTCCCACTCGCCAACTCGCCAACTGGCAAAGACATGTCTTTTGATACACTGTCACTGACAAATCCTTCTTGGCATCAGGACTCCATAGATTCCCGTACTTTGTTTGTGTTGTACATTAGATTTTCATGAACTGTTCGTAGACACTGCTTCGCTCGGGCAGAACAGGAAGCTTACGGCTACCTCATTGCCTCGTTACGTAAAAATTAATGGCGATGATGATGAAAATTCATGTTGATCCGTCGGATGCGGCGCATCAATACCAGCACCATACCCCCTGGCACGCCAGCATTCCATCAGCCCACACCCCTCAGTACATCCGCCCCCAACCTCTGCTTCTCCCCCGCCCTTCGCGGGCAGCCGGCACCCTTGACCGCGCTGCCCACCAGGTCCCAACCCCGGCCGCCTTGCCGCGGGCGGCCGCCGCGCGGGCTGGCTGCGATCCTGGAGGAGGCCATGGAGGAGGCGGAGAAGGCGGCGCTGGCGCTGGACGGCGTGGTGTACACAAACTACCGGGAGGTGGGGCGGGCGTGGCGCACCGCATTGGGTCCATAGAAACCCTTTTGCGGCAAAAGTGACCAGGGAAAATCAAAGGGGAGGGGAGCGGGATCTGTGCTTTGGTGGGCGAGGGGGGGCGCGAGGGGAGGGGGTCAATCGGCGATTCCGCTGTGGGGTGTTGGATTTTGCGGGCGGGTTGGAATGGAGTCCTGGGTGACCTGCAGATCGGTCCAAATGTCGTACCTTATCCACAACCGGTCGGTGTCGATTTCCGGAGAAGTTCTGCGATCGGCGTCCCTGCGCCCTTGCTTGAATGGGACTGCGCCGGGGGTATCCAGCCATTTTCTTCGGGTCACACCTTGTTCGTCGCACGCGCGGGGGCTCGCGGCGGGTGGGGGCTTTGGGAGACGCGCCCGCGACGCCTTTGTCGCGAGGCGTTTCAGAGCGCGCAGGACGGACGGGGATGATGCGAGCAATCGCGGGTCGATTGCGTCCTGCACGGTGGCCTTGGTGAAGGTTGTGGGTGACGTGGAATGGGAAGCAGGGCCAGCGGCGGCCCTCTGTTGAAAACGATGTGGGAGCCTCGCTGAAGCTGCAAGGCCAGTGCTGAGGCTGTGGGTACTTTGACAGTTTGGCTTGGGATTGAGAGGGTGGCAGGTACTGCGGTGTGTGTGCAAATCACGTGGAAGCGCACTCACGGCTAATAGCTGCTTTCTAAGCCGGGGTGTGAATCTGCTTCTTGCTACGCTGTCCTTCCAGGGAAAAAAATAGCGCCCTTGCAGCTTGCTGCTGATGTTGGGCACATACACCTCCATGCACCTGTACAGGGTGGGCAGGCATTGCAAGGTCCTTGTAGTCTGCCACAAAAATGATGATGTCCGATGATGTGAACCCAGGAGACCCATACCACGATCAGCTTGTCTTTTTCACGTTGCTGCAGCGACCATATGCATTTTTCCAACCCTACGGGTTGGGGATGGGCCATTCGTTGCTCCCACACCACGGGAAGTTGCCCAGGTCAAAAAATGACGTCCAACTATTCTGGAGACCTGTTGGACGAGCTGGCCGTCATTCTGGGGCTATCTCAGTTGGCACAGGCTTGAAATGTGGACTTGCCTATGGGCTAAAATGCAGGGGGCCACAGCAGCATATCCATGTTTACACATCTCTTTTCTTCATTTCCGGTTGCCTCCGTTGTTGCCTTGTTCTCATTTTGGCTCCCAGCTCCCTCCGGTTCTGGTGATCGTCCATCGGCGGTATCCTGTTGTATTCACCAGAACAGTGCTTCAGGCTTCGAGTAGGAAAGGGGGAGGGGACACAGAAGAGTGCTTGACTTGTATGTCACAGATCCAGGGAGTGGATCAATGCTGTCCCTCTGAGAAGACGAGCTAGTCGCCCAGGTGTGCTTGCAGGGTTGTGAGCAGAGGTTGCGCTTTGGTTCTTATGTAATCCAAAATATATGCGACCTATTGATGTCCAGTCACATGTGAACCATCGCCATCCAATAAGTGGCGTACAATTTCTCAAAGCCGCATGCTTTCTAATGCCCTATCTCCAACAACGCAAACTGCTAATAGGGTATGGTTACAACACAGAGGCTGCTGTGAAAATATGGAACTGAAACACATGCAGGACTGACTGCCCCACACCACCGTGGTCTCCTGTCCACTTGCGGACACAGGGAATACAACGGACTCACATGTCATAGGTTGAACGTTGGAGACGGCGCATGGCACAGGAAGGAAATGTGGCAGTATCTGCATCAGGAGATCTGCTGATCTGTTGTGTTCATCACAAAATGGCTTGGTGCTCCTGCTGCACCTGTCCTCCAAAGTTAAACAAGTATCTGCGTGCATAAGTTGTCATCCAGATGCGCTCAATCTGTAGGAATGTGCAAGGCATGAAGGCTTCCGATTTTGTCTTGTGAAATGGAAGGTGGCACATGGAGTTTGGCAGAAGCATGTGTACAACAGATAGAGGTGGCCGTGTCTCCTGCCAATGGCAAGGGATGTTAAAGTACTCTGCATTCCAGCCTGTCGATTGCTGCCTTGTCCATTCAACTGGGATCAGTCTGCCTCGATTGTGACAGTCTGCAAGGGTTCCTATTGGGCCAACCCTTGCCACAGAATGTAGCCATCGATTGCATGCTGTCAGCAGGGCCTGTGTGCACGTTCGACCAAATTTTGACCTTGCAGACCATAAACTTAACTTGACTATTGAGATAGAGCCAGACCTGCGAAAGCAGACCCGATCGAAATTCAGGAATCAAGTACAGCATATAGTAGCACTGTAGACAATAAGCAACCCTACAGACTTGGTCTATTGAGGTGGTGGGAGTGATGAAAGCCTGATAAATGGTATGCGGATGCCAAATCAAGGTGCCCAAACTTAACCTAACACAAACAAGTGATACTAAAATTTTGACTGCCAGGCATTGCATGTTTAAACCTGGACTTAGCCTGAGCGAAGCTAATCGACATAGGCAGAACATGACTTCTGGCATGTCCAGTAAATGTGTTCCTGTAACTGTTGCTGCGACCACTGTCATCGCAGACGATGGAGCATCCTTGGAGCCAATCTTGCCTCTTCCTCCGATCCCTATGAGGTGTTCTTTCAACCCACCTCTCAATTCCAAACAGTTTTCCATCTGGACGATCTGGCCGTGGGCATCCAGACAGTGCTGTGGCCTTGCTGGCGATGCTTCTGCCTCCTTGTTATTAATCACACCCTAAACCCGAAGCTATTCTACCACACAGACTGCAGTTTCATCCAAAGACCACCAAGCAGGTTCATTGTCTTGGACCGCTGTTGCTTGTCCCCTTACTACTATCCTGTTTGTGTTGTGTTCGACTCCTGCTCCACTCCCCGTTCCGATCCATGTTGGTGGACTGGCCCGCAGGTTCGCACCACAGCCAAGAAGGGCGCCGGGAAGTTCCTGAAGTTTTTCCTGATCGACGACAGAGAGCGTGAGGTGCTCGCAGCCACGGCCGAGGACCAGGGCGATGCACACTACCTGTACAAGAATGCAAAGGGTTTCACGCAGCATGGCAAGCTGGAGTCGCACAACAGGAAGGAGGTCATCATGTGGTTAGTAGAAAATGCTGGTAGTCTACTAGCGATTTGTTTGTTGAAGGTAATAGCAAAGATATCTGGGGTGAATAGGAAGGGGAGTGACAGGATTCACATGAGGAAATGTTTAATGGAAGGATGTTGGGTTAATTGCTTCCTGCAAAAATGACAAAAGGGGGTCATCATGTGCTATATCTGTCTGAAGGTGGCTGGAAAGAGCTCAGAGTTTCTGAGATTTGCCCAAAGGTGTTGAGAAACGATCCCACAATGGCATGAATTGCCTGAGGAACCCTGAGACGAACCGATGGTCTTGGGATAAGTTAGAGTGTCTTGAAATGGCCTGCAGTTTGCCCAAGGCACCACAAACAGTGATGGCATGTCTTGATTAATGTCAGCATATTCTTGAGATGGCCTACAGTGTCTTCAAGAAGTCCAAAAGCATCCCAATCTAGTGTCTGTATGGCTTCGCAAGAAGGAAATGACCAATGTAAAAGTTTCAAAGAGGGAGGGGAGTGTTATATCTTTTCTTCAGAGAAAATGGCTTACATTAGTGTAAACGTAATCTCATGGAAACGAACAGAAGAAAAGAAGGAAATAAGTGAATGGTGGAGTTGCACTCTGTGTAATGTCTTTTGGTCATCAACTGCTCCATAATGAGGGTCAAGGGGTTCACACGGCATCGACATGCAGTGCACTGCATAGGCAGTTTTGATTTGCTTCTGTGTTAATGCTTCCAGCATTTCTGCTAAAATGAATCCTGCATTTGGCACCACAGGCCAAAATATTTCCTTAACACCTTGTGAGCGATGACAGGAGTTTATATATGTGTCAAGAAACTGTGCAACGAATAGGAGATGCCAGGCAGCTATTCAATTGCAGAAATGTTGGTTCCCAAAGTGCTTTCTGTGTGGGCAGCACACACGTGGTGATTGTGTCATCTTCTTTGCAGCCTTCTCTTCTTGCATAATGCATTTGGCACTTACAGTACATATTTGCAATCTTTTTTGTCTGCTTTCTTGATTGTGTGTGTCTTGTCAGGCTGGAGAAGATCATACGTGAATCCCCATTCCAAGTCAACAACAAGCAAGAGGAAGAGGATTTGAAGCTGCTGCCCACAGAGGACCACCCAGAGGGCCTCTATTTTGTGGATCAAAGGTGTGCACATGATTTGCCGCAAATTACTGCATTGGTTTGCTGCAGTCCACACAGCGTATTCTACATTCTGCAGTGCTGAACAATGAGTAGAAACTGCAATGCATACAAAATATGTTGTGTATATAATGCATATTGTATAATCGCATAAAAAAATATAATATCCAGCTGCTGTTGTCCGTCTGGAGATGTGGTGTTGTCGTGTGGTAAATTGGAAGGGACCAGAGAGCAGAATAATCGAAATTCTGCACAGATTGTGTGATTTTCCTTCATCGTATTGTTTTGCATTGTGTTGTATTTGACAGCAACTTATACTCGTATGTAGTGTATTGTAAGAATGGAACGAGCAGATTGCTGTGCCAGATGGACGTTGCTCATGCTCATAAATTTCTGCACTGCAGTGGCAAGGAGCCTGTGGCCAACATACATGACATGCATATTCTATTTGTTTTGTATGTCATATGTACATTATTTGTTCTGTTTGTTATTCAGCAGTGCGAAATATGCAACAGGCTGTGTGGGGGGCAGCAAATCAGGAAACCTGTGCGGCTGGGCTTGCCCCTGGTGGATGCGAGTTTGGACCTAGTGAATGACCCAGAACCTGTGAGGCAGTTGATGAAGAGTATAGTTGTTGATATGCATGTTTCATTTCATGCAGTGTCATGGCATGTATTTTGGGGTTGGTCTGTTGCATAGCTTGGCTGTATGTTGCTGCATACAGAGAACAAGAATTGTTGTTTCAGTCAGTTGGAAAACATCCAGCTTAGCAGGTATTTGTCGTGTCCAACTTCGCTTGAGGGATGCTGTGCCAAGGGACGGCACTGTGGCAGCCCAAAGTTCGCTGCCATTGTGGCTGTTGGCTGGCAGCTGGAATTGGATGGGGGTGGCACTACATGTTGTCACGATTAACAACAATCGTGTCATCATAGTTGACGGTAGTTGTGGACAATCGTTGACTGACCATTGAGTGCCAGCTGCTCCCTGACCGTTGTTTTCGCTTGGTCGATTCTCCTGACAGGCAGGAGCGCATAACGTGCCCTGACGGCCGTAAGTCCAACAAATTTTTTCTCATCGACCAGTATGGCGTGGAGCACTTGGCGGTGGTGGGCGAGGAGAGTCATGCGAGGGATGGGCACTATCACTACATCGCAGTGAGTGCACATTTGATATTTTCCTTTTTGGTCTGTGTGTGTATGCTCTTATTCCAAAGTATCATATCGCATGATTTGCTGGTCAAATGGTACATCACACCATAGTGGTGATGTTTGGACGATGATTGTGTTCGTTTGTGTGCCTTTATAATTTGTGTTCGAATGCTGGCCCCCTGTGCCAAGAGCGAACTGCAGGACCTGTGCCACTTATCGAAGGAACTCAAGGCCATGTTGTGGTGCGAGAGGATCAGCTGCAATCCCAATGGAATGTGCTGCTGGCTTGCAGAAAATGCATCCTGCATATTGCCTCCAAGCGTTCATCCGTATCTTGGTTTCCTATCCAATTGGCGACCTCCACTACGTTTTCTCCTGTCCATGGTCTACGATGTAATGGTCATGCTGGAAGCTCATTACTGAACTGTGAAGGGCTTTCGTCGATTGGGATTAGTGGTTCGAGGTGTAGATCGTACCAATGGGTAACGGTTTCTGACTCTCACAACCAGGCTGCCAAATGACCACAAAGAGTGCAGTGTTAATTTGGCTTGTGTTCCGCCATGCAGTGCAAATCCATCCCGTCCCCTCCCTTCTCCCTTCCTGCCCGCCCTCTTTTCGCACAACCACAACACCAATGGCGTCTAACACCGACGAGTACATCATGCACATTAGACATCTTGTAAATGATGTAGGGAGCACATAACGTGCGTCGTAGTCCGTTAATTGTTTGGAATAATTGGAGTAACTGAAATGATGCAGGGAGCACACAACATGCAGCGTACTCCGTTGATTGTTTGGAATAATTAGAATAACTTGCAGTACATCGTCCTTCAGTCATTCATTTTCACATGACAAGGCAAGGAGGTAGCCGTCAGCTTTGCAGTCTGCCCGAGCAAGGATTGTCCATGATGGGTTCATGAAATCTGGTGCACAACACAAACGAAGTCCAGAAATCCATCAATTCCTATGCTAAGAAGCGTTTGTCGATGATAGTACGAGAAAAGACGAGCCTGGCTGGCGAGCGGGTACTGAAGCAAAATCTTTTGGCATTGCGATGTCCAAATAGACTTGAATTTATTGAATTCATGATGACGCCGAAGTCGTTATGGGTTATCCATTTCCGCTCCCTGCCCCTCATCACGAGCCCTTCACGTCTGGCTCCCCCCTGAGCACCTGCAACGCCAGCAGCGTATGTAACACTGACTCGCCTGGGGTGCATCACGCACATTACTAGCTCGTTTGGATTGTCGAAACAGCTCCTAACTATTGGGCTGCTTCACGCTTCATGAATTGGATTATGTGCGGCAGATTGTACCCTACTGAACCCGTCTGGATATGTAAGATATGCAAGCAATGCCTTGGGATATGTAAGATTTCCTGATGACGAGTTCGTTTGAATCCGCTCGCTTCCCGTTCTCAGCACGAGCCCTTCGCCGCTGCCTCCCCGGCAGGCACCCGCGGCGCCAATGGCGTGTACTGCTGACTGACCTGCAGTGCATCATGCACGTTGGTCCATTTAAACCAATGTGTGTGCCCAAGCAGCTCCTATCCATTGTCCTGGATCATGCTTTATAAACTGGATTACTTTAAGAAGTTTGTAGTTTATCGAACACGTCGGTTCATTTAAACCAATGTATGTATCCAAGCAGCTCCTATCCACCGCACTGGATCATGGCATGATCATCATGCTTTACAAACTGGACTACTCGTGGTAGTTTGTACGTTATCCAATTCACCGTGAGTCACCTGTCTCTGGCCGCTTCCCGCCCTCAGCACGAGCCCTTCGCCTCCGCTTCCCCCTTGAGCAGCCGCAACGCCAACGGCGTGTACCACTGGCTGGAGCAGTGGCTGTCGCACAACGCCCTGACGGCCGCGGAGGAGGAGGCGCAGGGCGCGCCCGTGGGTCAGGCGCCTTCCGAGGAGTGCCCGCGGGCCCGGCCGCGGTCGGTGGTGCTGGAGATGGGCGACTGGGGCGACGGCGAGGGCAAGGCCATGCCGCCCAGGATGCTGGACCTGTCGAGGCTCACGGGGACGAGGAAAAGGTGGGACGGAACTGGGTGCCGTTTTTTTGAAACAAAGGAAGAACAAGAAACTCTTGTTCTTTGCTTTGTTGGTTTTTCTGTTGTTGTTGGCTTGAAGCAGCGGAGACGTTAAACAAAGAAGCAAAAGGAAGAGGAAATAACCAACAAAAGTAAGGAAGAACAAGAAGTTCCTGTTCTGTGCTTAGCTGTTTATTACGTTTCTTGGTTGGTTTGAAGCAGTGGAGACTCTAAGGGAAGTGCAAGAAACTGCCACATAGTTGGGGTTGAAATGAATTGCGGAAGATTCAAAAATCTGGGCAGGGGGATATTAGGAAACCCTTGTGGCCCTTCCGTCCGTTCGTGGGCTGTTTTGCTCTCAGTCGGCGAACCTGGCAGTCGCAGGTTGCTTGCAGTTCGGGGCTTGCCTGGAGTCTCGTTGATGCAGTTGTTGGACCCAGCGACTTGGTGCCGAGAAAGAGAGCTTGTCGTTGTCCGCTGGCGTGGCAGTCCGGGTCCAGGGCACACAAACTGCCACTCCAACGAATCGTGTTTCGATTCTGTGAAACTCGCAGCGCTAGCGGAATCTTGCCCAGCGCCGCGCAGTGACGGTGCAAGAGTGGGTCCATGTGGACCTTTGTGAATGGCTTGACGGAACTGCGGAGCGGCTCAAGGAACAGGAGCACCGCCCACGCATTGGCGGCGGGGTGCCGTGCCGTTGGCCGTTGCCCCGCGCTTGCATCGCCGCAGCGGTTTGACTCGACGCGGCCGTCACAGCCAAATGCCTTGGATTGCTTTTTTCATGCAATGACGAAGCACAGCCCGGGCACCTGATAGGCGGCGGAGGGCGCCAAGACCGAATCAAGTTTGTTCGGCGCGCCTTGTGCAGCGGCGCGGCGGGCTGTACCGGCAGAACCTCGTCCGCGGCTCGCCGCGTCCCCCCAGGACGCTCCAGACCGGCGCGCATCAGCCGCCGCGGTGGGTGCCCGACATTGCCCCGTCCTCAGTTCTTGTTCGGAGCGAAAGCCATGCGCAACGCATGGCTGGAACTGACGGCTCCCACCAGTATCTTGATGTGCAAGATTTCTTGATGCTGGTGACAGACTGAACTGACGGGGCCACTCTCGGAGCTCCCCCTCCCCTTCGACAGTCGATCAATCAACCCATGCACCGTTGGGTTGCACTCTCTTGCTCGGTGCGCTCCCGCGCACCATGTGATGGGACGTGGGAGGCACCGGACGCTGAAACGCGGTGCAACGTACTGGATCCCCCCAAAAAATGGCACCGCCGCGTCCCAAATCCCGAAATCGCCGGCTGCATCGTACAAGGATGACGCAAGCGTTGTACAAGGATGACGTAAGCGAGTGCCGTACTGGGGCTCCATTCACGGGGATTGGGGCTCGCTGTGGATTGGCGCAACGGTGCATGAATTGCCCACAGCCGAGCCTGCCGCCGCTTCGGCCCTCCCAGCCCCCGCCCTCGGCATGCCGGACTCGCCGGCCGCCGGCGGCCTCAAACGGCGTCGCTGTGAAGCGGGAACCCCCTCCCCGCCGCGATTCGACCGGCGTGCTGGAGAGGGCACCTGCGCCGATCCGGACAGGTGCGTGCGCCAGGGCTCGGGCGCTCATCCCCCCCGGAACCCGACGCGGATGGCCGGGCCTGGCGGGGGCGATCGCGGGCGGCATCCCTCGGGAGGGGTGGGTCTAGACCGCGACGGGGGTTTCGCGTCTTTTGGCGGTGTTTGGCGGCGGGGTGGGGGGTGGGGGGCGGGAGAGGGGTGGCGCCAAGATTGGTTGCGGCGAGGAAATGAAACAGCGCGTACAGAGGGCGCTCCCTTCTGAGAGAATGTGTGCCAGACTCTCTTGCTTGCTTTGAAAAGATGATGTTGAGTCGCTCGTGCGAAATGATGAGCAAACAACGCGGGACCCACCGTGGCGGTGGTTGGGGGTTGCGGTGCGGGCCTTTCTGGCGGGAAGGGTGGCTGTTTCTGTGGCGACGATCGGCGCCCGGGCGGCGCGAGGGGAGGGGGGGATCGGCCGAAGGGGCCGCGATGCGCGGGGCGCGGTCCGCGCTCGGTTCGGAGGCTATTCGCTCGCCGTCCCGGCCAAGGCTATCCGCGCGGGCGGGCCCCCGGTGGGCTCTTCCCCGCTGCGGGCGTCCCGCCACGGGGGGCGAATCGGGGTTGGCTGGGTGGATGATTTGGAGCGCAAGACGCTGCGACGCGGGGGTTTGTGGGTGGGATCGACTCACGGTGGGGCCGGCGGCCACGACCGATCGGCAGCGGCTTTTTCGCGCGCTTTCGTGGGAATTGGCCACACGGGCGGGGTCGTGCGCGCGGGGCGATTTTGTCCCACTTTTTTGCCGCCGGGGATTGAGGGAATCTTGGCTGGGCGCGGGCGCGATGAATTCTGCGGAAGGGCGGCAGGCGGGGCGTTGGCGATGTGGCGAGTCATGGGCGCGTAGGGCGCGTCCGCGAGGGAGCCATCTGGAGCGCGCTTCTCCGAGTGGGGTTCGGCGCCCGGCATGCCGCCCGTGGGGCCGCTGGGCGCGATGGGGCCGGAAAGGCCGCCGGCGGGAGCGCCGTTGCGCGGGATCGATCGGCGGCGGGCGCTGGGGTAAGCGTGGAGCGAGGCAGGCGGGGTGAGATTCTTTGCAATGGGGAAGAGAAAAGGGGAATGCGAAGGCAAGCCTCCTGAGCGGATGCGCGCGAGTTGCCTTCCGCGCCGTGGGGAGAAGATGCGTAGCGTCCAGGGCCGCGAGAGGGGCGCGACATGGAGGCGCACAGGCGGGTGGGGGCTTGGTGCCCCTGGTCGACGAAAAGCTTCGCCCCGGCTCGAAGAGGTGCCTCCGCTTTGAGAAGATCGCGGGGCGGGCATCGGGGGGAGCGGCGCGGCGGGCCACGGGGCGCACCTCTCCGGCCGCCTCTGCGTCCGCCGGGTGGCGGGATGGGAAACAGCGACGGCGACGCCGACGGCTTGGACGGTGTCAGTAGTTGGCCGTGGCGGCGATTAGTGTGTCGAAATCGGTGTGTTGAACGATCGGGGAATCGAACCACCCAGTGCCCGCGCAGTTCCCGGAGCGGGAGCCATCGGCGTGCCATCGCCGCCGGGATTTTCTGGAGGAGGGAAGGGGCGGCGCCAAAGCGCGGCGCGGGCGCATTTCGGGAGTTGGGCGCTCGGGTCGGGCTGGCTGCTTCATGGGAGGGATGGGGAGCGTCTCGCTCGGCGGTTGACGGGCGAAAGTGGGGCCCAGAGCGCAAGAGGGCGGTCGCGGGACTGTAGTGTGGCGGCCTCGATCTCCAGCTTGCAAACCCTGCGGTTGGGAGCGTGTAGCGAGAGCGATTGGATCCTCCTTGTCTGGAAGGGGAGGGGGGGAGGAGGGGGGGGGATTGCAATGGTGGATCGGTGAGGGAGGGTTGATGGGCCCGAAATCGCAACCAGCGCTGCATTGACTGTTGTTTGGCGCCAGTTGGGGTGATCCCCAGTTGGGAATGGGTCAAGAAAGCGGTTCTATCGACCAAGCCGTGGTGAAATGGGGCAGACTGCTCCGATGTGCCATGCAGGAGATGCCTCCGATGGTCGGATACTGTGTGGGGGGGTGGGCGGGGTGCAGGCACTGAGGACGCAATATGGCGTGGAGCCCCACGTCCTCCATGCATTTTTCTCCCTTTCTCTTACCGACGCTCCTGCCTTTGTCCCTTATTCAAGCTTTTCCATTTTCCACCTTTTCCCACACTTTCTGTACGATTCAGCACCTGTCAACGTAAGAGCATTTCCAGCAAGCATTTTGGCAAACATGATTAGCAACAATTGTGTCAAGCATGCTATGAGGATGAATGCCAACGTGAGCCATTTATTGTCCAATCGCCCTTGCATAGGTTGACAGGCGCAGCTGAGGCGAGCCACCAGAAAAGGATGAAGCTGATGCACTCAGCGGAGGCCGCGGCAGCTGAGGAGCTGCAGGCAGCGTGGCTGCAGGAGAGGCGGATGGCAGCAGGGGCGGATGCTGAGGCGCGCAAGGCAGAAGCACTGTCCTCGTTGGCATGGCTAAAGGAGGCACCTTCAGACGACGAGGTGAGGACATCGTTAGTTATTGACAAGGAGCAAAATCGCCAATATAGATTGCCAAGGTGGTCAAAACATGCTAGAAAATAAGTGCACGACATGAGGGCGCAGTGCTATTGTGTCATCGCAATGGCAACCCTTGGCATTGTGCTAATCCATCTTGTGCACATTAGTCTTAAGATAATTTTTTGCAACTGTACCCAATCGAGTGGAAAACATGTGCAGACATGTGTTGGCAGCACTGGAAGTAGATCGTGAGCTCTCTAGAACTCTCAAAACCAGCCCTAGAGCAACAGCACTAAAAGAACTGACGGTTTTAGTGCACAGGTGTTGTCTTTTGGCATCCAATCAGCATCGTATGGTTTTGTGATGAGCTCTCCCCAAGTCAGCGTGAATGCCAAGCCTAACCTCACTGCCAGATTAATAAGATCAACCACTTCAGTGTGCATGCTTCTTTGTCAGCTTCCAAAAGTCACAAGCTCTATAGTGGCCAGTGTTTTACATGAACATAAAACAAGCTGAGAAAGAGCTCACATGCTCGCCAAAATGTTCACTGAAATGGCCCTTCCTGTTTTGAATGTTGTTCTCACTTCTTCAGTCTGGCTCATGAAAACTCGAACTACTCAAGCACACTGGGTGTTGGTTGCTGCCACCAGTTTTGCGTTCCTAAAGTCGCAAATCCCACAATCGCGGCTGCTCTTGTGAGTTTGGGTCCCTTGGGCCAAGGCTTGTGAACCACCAGCAGAAAACGCACCTGAAGTAATTCAGATCCGCCAAGTGCCTAAACTACCTGCCAAAACCCACCCTACCAGGGTGGCACTGCTGCCAACAAAAGACATTCAAGACAGTCCCTGTTAATGGTGTTTGCAACATGAACCCCAGAACACATTTTAGCCCCATGGAAGCGTCACTCGCTCTGTTTGGTCACAGCAATGTACTTGTAAATTCATATGTTACTCTAATGGCTCAGGGAGGCAGGGCACTGACACTGTTACTTTTTGTCATGTGTGGGAAGGGGCCATGTGTGAGGAAGTTATCGCTGCATCATTCATGGCATATAGAACAACTTGAGAAGTGAGCGAAAACCAATCAGGAGATGGTCACAGAAAAGAAAAGAAAAGTGCATTTGACTTTCACTATGATGATTGCACAAGGGAAATAGAATGGGTAGTGAGTGGTACTTCTCACTGAGCCTTGCTGCTTGACAAAATTGTATTTGTGGTGGTGATGAGTTTGAAAACACCCATATTTTTGTTGCGTGATTGCCGGGCCAATGGTAAGAATACGTGTCTTTCCAGGTCACCACTGTGGAGTATTGGCACAGCATCCTAAGGGAAATGGTGGAGGCATGGGAAGCTGAGGAGAAGCTGCAGGATGGGGACGTTGAGGTGGGGTCCGTGTGGATTGTTCCTGTTTGCTTCCAAATCTTGCATCAGTTCAGGAGATCGCATGCCTTTGTTGTTGTGAAACTCTGCATTCATTCATAAAATTTAGTTTGTCGTTCGGACATACTGCTCTTGTTGATCACATCATTGAGAATCAGCAATAGAGAGCATTGTGCCGTAGTTTTCACAAAGTCCATTGTCTTGTGCTGGTAAAGCTGCCAAATTTGGGTGAGAACATATTGCCTAAAACAACAGCTTCTTGTCTTCAAAGAACTCCTCTCCTGAAAGGACAACATTGCTCACCAGTGACAAAAGTGGGTGTGCGATGCCCATCTAGGAATAAAACACCAAGCTCTCTTGCTGCTATTATGAATTGCAACTGTCTAGCATCATCCCAAGGTTGGTGTGTGTGCCAGCAGTTTGTGAGTGAATGGCTGTGTTCAGTAGAGTCGCTGGCCATCTGCACATCTGTCAGGTTGCTGATGTATCCAGTCATGCATTGACTGCCAGTGCTGCTGGCTATCCTCCACTTCAGGTGCACATAGCATGCTCTGGTCACACCAACGGCCACATGGCAGTGCTCTGGAGCATCGGTATCTATTCAATGTTATCTGCCACTGTTATCTCCACTCCATCTGACGCATTCGGTGGTAGCCTTGATGGCCTAGGCAGCCCTCTGGCTGTTGATGTGTGTGGCCTGCTGTCACGATGCAGCAAATATACACTGAGCGCGTTCAGGCCTGGAAGCAACAAAAGGCTCTACCCTCCATGTTGTTACGATGGCATGGCTGGTACTGTCAAAATTTTGAAACCCCATGTGGACTGCTGGAATAACAGCACTGTCCAAATGCCTGAGCGTGACAAAGATTGTGATTCCCACAATGCTTGCAACGAAGCATTCATGCATCTGCATTGTGCATGCTAGTGGAGCAGCGCATTACTTTGAGCATCTAGGGCTTTGGGCACGCAGACCACTGGGCCAATATATTAGCTTGCAGCTTTCAGCGGAGAGGTTGGAGCATGATTTGGATGCCCTGCCTGTGTCCAGAGCATGGAAGTGGACATTGTGCCCGAGTCACCATTCTCAAGCCCTGATGCCTCGGCCCCCCCAGCCATTCCTTGCCACCCCAACCCCAAGAGCCGCCACTGGCTAAGGCTATGTCTTGAGGCCCTCAAGGAGGTGGGCACGATGTACATGCCTCTCAAGCTCATGTCGCAGACCGGCATCATGTCCACCGTCACCAAGCTGAAGGACCATCCAAACAGCAGCATCTCAAGGCATGTCTCGGCCCTTTCCAGAAGGGACAGTGGATAAGCAAAATTTTTGTGCCACACCAATGTGGCACACTCTATTTGTCTCTTCGTCAATGTAGTGCTTGAAAGCGTGTGATGCGAAAGGTCTAGTGGTCATAGTTTCACTTCCTCACTGCCTTTTCTTTGCTGTCAATTTCATCTGTTTTATGGTAAATTTGGTCGTGAGGAGCATCTGGCATACTGCAATTTGCCTTGTTGCGGTTGCCAGTTCCCTCCAGCAGCCTGCATACCTTGCAAGCGCCGCAGTTGCAGGCATTTCTATGATGTATTCTGTGCAATATCAGAACTGCTGTGTGATTAGCGTAGTTGGTTGCATTTATCGATGTGATGACGATGCTGCTCACACTATGGATCAGCAGCAACAAACAAGTGGTATTGATTAGCCGTGATTCATTGTATGCCTGGGGTCCACTGAATTCTCAACTTATTTGAGATTGAGCATTCATATCCATGAGACTAGTCTTGGCAGGTCACATTGCCTTGCACTTTATTGTGTGGTTCAAAAAGGTGCACATCTCTTGTGTTAGGAATGGGGTGCCTGGGCACTTCTATTCTTGCTGTAACGCTCTAGAATACAAAGGGGGCACAGAAAGTTGCGCTGCACTTCAAATGTTGCATCATCTGACTGCGTCTTGGTCCAATAGGTGGCAGCTCACCCCTGTGGACTGCTCTATACTTGGTGCAGCACTGCTCTATACTTGGTGCAGCACCTGGCACATTAAACACAGTACTTCATTCGACCTCCCTCACACAGGTACTCCCAGTACATTGCGCTTCAATGGCGCACTCAGATGCTGGCACACTGCCGCACCCTGTTGGACCCTGCCATCTTGAGTGACCCCGTGGGAGATCTGGAAGAGGCGTTGCTAAGTGGCTCCCTCGCGCCACCCATGCTGGGCCCCAAGGACCCACCCCCCGCTGCCCGCAGATTGAAGTGTGCCGCAGCATTTGAGGCCGAAGGCCGCAACACACCAAGTGGGAGGCTTGAGGGAGGTACAGGAGGCAGCAAGGAAAGGGCAGGGGATGCTGATCCCGAGGTTGGTATGAATCCTTTTTCACTCGCTTTCTCTTTTTCTGTGGTTTACTTAGTTTCTCTTGCTTCTGCTTATCTGTTGTTCTCTCTTTGTCCCTTTTCGCAGCCTGTTCGTTTGGATGTCCTTTCAGTGTGTTGTGAAATTGCCTTATGATAGAAGCCAATGGGTTGTCACAAATACACGTGCAATACACTGGAAGACTGGTAAATACGCACTGTATGATGGTCTCAGTCCAGGAATTTCGCCACTACCAGCTTCAAATGACCCCAGCGACAAACAACGTTGAGCTGAATGGCAGTCCCTTCTCGTTGGTGCTCACCCGAAGGTTTGAACTTCTCACTCGATTTCGGCCTGCTGATTGTGGCCTCTTTAAGTCAACTTGGCTTTGTAATTGCAGCATAGGAAAATGCAGCCTACCCAGTGTTGGCATTATTGTCAACCATACACCGGGCATGTTAAAGGTGCTGACCGAGAAGTTTGTATACGTATGCAGCTCAGTATGCCATCACATTGTCGCCACTTTATTTAAGATTGAATTATGATGTGCTTTGGAGCTATACGCCCTTTTGCATATAAATGTGTATAAACCACAAGGCATGCAAGTGCGTTTTGCAGATTTGGCTAGAGACAGCCAACGGCACTCCTGCCGGGATTTTTTTTGCTTGAAAATATGAGAACTGCATTGCTATGGAATAAATAGTAATATTGCTATGCGTGTGGATGCTCTCACTTTTGGCACGCAGCCCCCCAGAGCACTTTGGGGTGGGCAACGTCACTGGGCGCTGCTATTGAGGGTCCCACTTATTTCAATGTGGCAACTTGCCCTTGGGGCTCAACTGTGTTCTGTTGTTTGCTGCCCATGCAGCAGGCGCAGCGAGGCACTGTCACAAAGTCAGGGGATGACTGCAGCCACTGTGAAGCTGACACCACACATGATCAGCCTTCAGAAATTGGGAAAGATGCGTCCCCAGATATTGCCGACGTCACAGAAGTGGAAGGAACAGCACATGAAGGAGAAAATGGTGCATTGGATGATGGAGATGAAGGGACTGCCATGGAGGTAGGTGCTGCCCAACTGCACTTATGTTGGTCTTGTGTGTCCTGAACAAACACACTATTAAGGATGAGTTGGTGATTTAGTCTTATGCTGTCAGATCGGACTTCTGATGTATGAACTTGCGGTACCAGGTGCAGCTGAAAATCTACAAGGTTTACGTTGCCAATTGTGTGCCAGAGCGCTGCGCTTTTCCCAACGGGTCGTTGTCAGAGGTGCTGTGTATTTTGTGTTTGTGTGTGCCGGTTTTGTGCTGCATCTGTGGATCGGACCCTGCATTGTTGGTGGTGTTGCCCGACAATGTGGTGCAGCTTCCTTGGTGGTATTCATTAATGAGTGCTACGCCATTTGATGCGTTCAGTTGTGTTCAAGTAGTGAAGATTGCCAGCATTCATTTGCTTGACATGCTGACAGCGCCACATATGTTGCGTGCTTTGTTCTTATTCTGTGGCCATGTCAACAGGAGGAAGAAGTGAAGGCTGATGGGGGCGAATCTGACATTGGTACCGATTCGGATGACAACGATGGGGATTGCCCTATGGCTGGCAGTGAGTCTCCAGGGCAACAAGAGAGCCCCACAGCAGGTGTGCTGCAGACTCCCTCGTGCTTGAGCACTATTGTGCTGATTACCATTGTACCAAAGTACAGCTATGTTCAGCTCTTTGGCACCCTCGCGTTAGCACCTGCACTAAGCACAGTTGATATTTGTATGTGCTACACCACACATGTGCCCTGTAGTACATGTTCCCATTGAACTCATCGTGTCGATGGTGCATCGCATCTGAATTAGAACCGTTCCAAGTGCGTGTCACAAATTGAATAAAGCAAAAGTTGGCAGGCGGTATGCTCTCACGCTTCAATAACACCTCCGATGGATGCGACGCAATTGAACTATGATATTCCGTTTCTGCACTTTTGTCCTTAGCAACTAACGTTCTTTGACAGTTTCGTGGTATTGCTAAGTGAAGCGTTGTGGACACCATGTTCTGCACACCATTTTCTCATTGAGATATTGTTAATTGTGCCGATTGTTGTTGAGTTCAACATCAATGAGCCCAAGTCATTCATAAGCTCATCGTGTAACACGCCATGGGAAAGATAAACTACCACACCAGAGAATGTGTTAATTGCTAAAGAAACTAGAATCAAAGCGTATTTGAGCCAACTTTCTGAAGTGCATTGTAAAACTCTGCATGCCACAAGGCTTGAGCCCCTCACTGGCAGCCATGCCACCGCCATAGTACTTGAACATCGAACGGTAGACTGCTGCCACTGCAGCACTTAGAAGGCTGCCACCGTTACAATGCTTCAGTTCTGCAAGTGGCAGCAGCACTGCAGTCCTGTGCAATGGCTCATCTCTAGTGTCCTGTTTTTGTCCTTTTGGCGTGGCGCATCAGCTGCATTGTTGATCATATGAAGGATTTGATACGCTGTCAATATTGTTTCACTAAATCTTGCTGTTGAAAATTGATGCCAGATGGCTTGGTGGATGGGGTATCAGTGGACCCCAGGGAAGGCGGCCAGGGAGAGCAGGATGAAGCCCACCGAGGTATTGTAGCACCATGGATTTCCACCGAGGTTGGATTCTAGACATGCATACAATGCACATGTACATGCACAAATGTATGGTAGCCTATGCATTCCTGGTGCTAGTGCTTTCAAAGCACTGCTTTGGTAATGCTGATATTAGAAGTGCTGCTTTAACGCATTGTAATTTTCAGTGCTCCGTCACACTCTCTTTGTTGGAAGAGGTGCCAGTTTTGATCATGAATAAACCAACTATCCGAACAAATTGATGATTATATCATGCAGTGAAACGTTGATCGTTGGCATCGAACGGCACGCACACCAATAGAAAACGACCTTTTTACGATGCCAATTCGATGCCATTTCGCACAAATTGATGCCGTGACACCTACTTTTGTGTCATCACAGTCGCAGCGATGGCGCAACTTTGTTTCAAAATTGCATCCCAGTTGACATCGCAGACATGGTGTTTTGTGATAGTGACAACTGTCGGCTGTGCTTCTGTGCAGGCGAGCTGCGCAGCAGGATCGCCTCCAAGGAACTTCCCAGGACGACGAGCGCGTCAGAGGGCCCACGCAACACCGAGGCGGACGGCGACGAGTCTGACTTGGGCCTTCTGCTCGCGGACATCCCAGAGGAGTTCTTTCCGGAAGACGAAGAAGTGTCGGGCCGAGACAGTGGTGACTGAAGCCACGGCGACTTGAAGCTTTAACACACACCTCTGAGGAAAAAATGTTGCAGTACTCAGCACCATAATGTCTGAACCGTGGCATCTTGTCCCGTAACACCATGGTGGCCGTGGTGTGAGGGGCCCACAGAGCCTTCCAGTCGCATTGGTCGGGATGGCAGTCGAATTGGTTCCTGTGGGCCGATTTGAAGGTACACAGACCATGCTCCCACGAGGCTGCGCTTGTTGGGCATGAGCCCAGCTGCAAGCTGTCCCGAAACACCGTCCTTGTCCATGCCATCCCCAATCTTGATTCGTGTAAAATGCACTGTGTGGCAAGGTGGGGTGATGTGCGCCGGGCCGGCTGTGTTGTGGGTCGCGATTTAATGGCGGTGAGTGGTGGACCGGTGTGGGATGGCCAGCGTGCCGCGAGGTGGTCAGATGCCTGCAGAGCAGTGATCAAATGTGTTGCTTAGCTGTAGTTTGGCTTACGTCAGCTCAGCAACCTGGTTTCTTGGATTCCGACCGGATCTAGCGTCGTTCTGTTGCGTCAAAGCTCCTTGGCTCGAGGTGGCTGCAAGTGTCCACGGTTTGGAAAGCAAGCCTGAGTACCGTTGCCTGTGAAGACTGTGACGTCAGGGGAATTAGGGCAAGCCCAGTTGCACTGCAACTCTTCATATTCTTTCCTTGTGTTCTGCTCGTTTTTATTTTTTGGGGGGACGGTGGGCAATCTGGGCAATGATGGGTAGACCAAGGGGGGTTAGTCAACGGCTCTGCAGTGCTAGCTTGCACGGTAGCAAGACTTATACTGCGTTGCACTTACAAGCCTGCCAACCGCACTTGGATATTTAGAGATGTGCGGATGTCGCTGGATGGAGATGGCGGCTTGGCATTGGTGTGCTGGATTAGCGCTGCAGTACTGGCGTACTGTTAGTATTCGCCATTTTTGTGCTTATCCAAAACATGACAAATCGTCGTCTATTCCAATAGACGGATGAATTCATGGATGAATTCATCCATTGGCCAGTGTCGGCTGTCGAGAGGGAAGGGCTCTGCGGTGTTTGCGATTCTCTGCATCGTTGTTCTCGTCGCCAATAAAGGTGTTGGCTCCCGCACTTGATAGTGTTGATAGGAGACGCAATCAAGACAATGCTGGGCTGCAAAGTTGACGTTATGTGAAGTCCAGAATTCCATGGGAATTTTGGCAAAAGTGCGCGGACAGCAACACCTGGACCTAACTGTCCTCCGATGCGAGGAATCAAGAGATGCTATGATGACGTCACACACGGCAACATACAAACGGTCGCCCGATACTAGCAGCGATTCACTGTTATGGCTTTCGGGACACTCCCAACAAGCGACCTGATGATGCGGCAATTAGGACCCGTACCAAGGGCCGGGTGGCCTTGTGTGTTGGGCTCAAGAGCGCCACGTCCGCACCCCAGTACAAGTTGCTACAATGCAGCATTGCACCTCAAGACGGTTCTGGCTAATGCTTTCTTCGTGTTGTGTTTACAAGGGGATGGGTCACAATCTTTGCTGAATGTTGACGACTTCAATGTGTTGTTGGGTGATATGCACGATTCCAAGGTACCCCAAGACCGGTGCATGCTACGGTATTCCATGAAGCCGGTATGCAATTATACTTCTGCAGCGTAGTCATGGAGACTGTGCCATGTTTCGATCCATGTTGTTTGTTGTTTGGGGAAATAGCGTGGATCTTGTTTACCTACGTATTTGCGGGATTCTGCCATACGAGCCCAGCACACTCTGTCTTTCCACGCACAAGTGCCCAAACAAATGCCATCTGTTTCCACCAGTGTTTCTTCCAAAATGTGAATGTGGTTCCAATTTGACTGAATGACGAATACATTGATGTTCAGTGTCGACGGCTGCCATTGTCTGTTACTGACTGATGACACCGTCATGGCGTTCCCTGCCATGGCACACATGGCAAGGACGCCTTCTCAATCCATCTTATTCTGATTACTATGAAGGAATACATGAAGTCAGAGTGCAAGCGTCTCCATTAAATTTGCCTTGGACACAGCCACGTGATGATGCCCACAAAAATGCGAAGTCGAACAAAATCTTGAATTTTGTATTTTGTGCGCGGCCATCTGGAGGCGCTGTAGTGTGGGCGCTGCAGTTGCGTTTTTGGATTTAATCCAGGAAAACAAAGAAACAGAATGCACAAGGGCACCTCCCACCGAGCGTGGTGTGTTGGTCATGCGGAAACTGTACTGCAGAATTTGTACTGCGGGCATCGATGGCGGATGTGGGCCACACAGGCGATATGAGCAATACGAGGGAATTGTTCGCCGGGCGATCTGCATCCTAAAGGTAAGCGCAGAGGTGTGTGCAGAGGGTGCTGGTCGGGGGTGCACACGGGTGGCAAGAGCGGCCGGGGGGCATGCAGGGTGGCATTGAAGCAGTTCCCTGGATGCGGATATTGCTAAAGTTGGTCATTTCCAGTCCATTATCAAGTGACAAATGACTTCATCAACTTCATTAAGACTACGCAAGATGGACTACGACGACCAGCCTGCACTCTGTCCTAATTACATCTCCGAAGGATAGGGATACAGCTGCTAGGATGAATCGACAAAAGATGGGATTACTACTCAAGGCAACAATGTTCTACATGATCGGAGGGAGAATTGTAGAAGAAAGGACTACGACAAGACTTCGTTTATCCCTATAAAAAATAGATAAACAAGTCCTGGAGTCAGTCAGGTGGATTACAAGAGGAATCCGTACAACCATGCGACCCGTCAGCCGTTGGAACCCTCCTGTCAAGCCCTCTTTTATGCCTGCCCATGCTGGATGGTGAGTTGTCTCAAGGAAATGCCAGCTATATGTACAGCTGGACTCAAGATGGTGTTACATCAGGTCTTAGACATGTCCGACAGCTGTGCGCGGCCTGCGAGACTATTTATGGGCTGGGGCTATCAAGGGATATCAGCCCATTGCCAGTCCGACCATTCGCTCCGTATTGCACGCCACCGAGCACCATGGCTGCTGGCCGTTTCCGCCAGGTTAAAGCCTGGAAGTTCTTTATCGCCCAGTGGCTGACTCTTGGCCATCTACGCCTATGCCATTGGGCGTTGAACGGCGTTGATGCGCCAGTGGGATTCTGGGCGTTCCTCATCGCCGTAAAGGTCCCTTTCAACCACGAAGACGCTCCCTGGATTCTGAGGGAACGCCGCAGAGACCGTGAGAGGGCGGAGCTGCAGGAACTGGCCCGCGATGTGCACATGCGAAATGCTTCCATGCAGTTGGATGGAACTTTCGTGCTGGGGGTTGGCGAGCACTCAATCTGGAACGATGCGTATGACCCCAATGCGATTCATGAAGTTAACTATCCTGTTAATGGGTTTCTGCCAAGGGCGACGTTGGGTGGGCTGCACCGGCGATTCAAACGGTGCAGTTTGAACTTGGGGTTTACTCAACCCCGTCCCTTGGGATTTCTGGCCACCCCTAGTACCGTGGGTCTGTCAAAGTACGGTATTCCGAGGTGCCGCCCGCGAGGGCGCCCTCGAGTTTGGCGGGGTTTGGTGGGGCGGCGGAGGGCGGCTATTTAGGCAGCCCCTCATTCCCCCTCCTTATCTTGTTTCGCTTCGCGCCACTGCGTTGGCACAACCCGCAGGCACCGAGTGCCTTGTCCCTCCGGCTACAGCCGAGTCCTTTTTATGAACCGTTCTCCGGCCGAGCAGTGGCTGCACGACCAAGCGGTTCGGTTCAACGACGGTCCGCCTACGGCTTCCCTTGACGAAGTCTGGCTGTCCGACCCCCGGCTCCTACCGCAAGCGGTGACCAACCCGGTGGTCCGACCTCCGGGCGTATGCTTCCCCGAGTGGTTCGACGTCCGCCGCACCTCCGAAGGCGGGCAGCTCGCGCAGGCCCTGGGAGCCAACTCCGGGTACTTCCAGGAGTATCAGAACTGGGCCCCCTACGTCGCGTGGCAGTTCGACCTTAATGCCGCGCTGATCGACTTCGTGGCGCACCCAGCCTTCCCCCCAGAATTCCGGGAGGCCCTCCTTCCGTACGTCCACGCCCAAGTGACCATCACATCGCGTCTTCAGAGCCTGATCCGACTTCAGCAAGTCCACGGCGAGCAGAAGGGCACCTCCCTCGACGGTGTGTGGAAGGCGCTTCCGACCAACGTACGATTGGGCGCCGTGCATCGCCGGTTCTGGGACCCATTGATCGACGAGCCCCTCGAGCACATCCGCAAGGAGGTCCTCAATCAACAACTCAAGTTGGCGACGAAGTCCGCGGCGGCTCAGCATCAGGCGCAACTCAACCGCCAAGCTTCCGTAGCCCCGCCCCCCAGCGGTCCTTCCTCCGGCGCCAAGCATCTGCGCCCCAAACCCAAGACGTCCGGCGCCCCGCCAGCGCCTCCCAAGCCGACCGCCTAGAAGCCCCCCCCTACGCGCGCCTCCAAGGCCGTCTCGCGGCCTGGCGCCGCATCGGCGCCCCCACCCGAGTGCTTCAATGGATCCATATGGGGGCACCGCTCCAGTGGGGCCCGGGGGACCCTCCGCCTCCATTCGATCAAGGCGAGTACCCACTCTGGACCCCGGCGGAATGGCAATCATGGCGGGAGCTGCGTGACGAGTTCCTGCGGACGGGAGCGATCCACCGGACGGAGGTTTCTTCCAGCGCCCGAATTTCGCGCGCCTTTTTGGTGGCCAAGCCGGCGGAGAACGGGAAGACCAAGTACCGTTTGGTCATCGACCTTTGGCGGATCCACCGCCATCTCAAGAAGGTCGGTCTCCGCTACGAGCGCTTGAAGGATTTCGGGTTTCTTTTGCATAAGAATGACTTTCTGGTAGGATTCAATGTGAAGAATGCTCACCATCACATTCGGATGCGTGCCGATCAAAAGCTTTTCCTGCTCTTTCGAATGGGTGGCGAGATTTTCGCTTGTCGGGCGCTGCCCTTTGGACTCTCTTTGGCGCCCTTTTATTTCACTCATGTCATGCTCGTTGTGGTCCGTTTCTTAAGGACCCCTAATG